TTCTCATTTCTTTACAGCATCCTGCTTTGTTTACACACACACCTTTCCTGTCACCTCTTACGCTCTTTCTTTGCGCTTCAAGAATCATACTTGTTTCTGCCTCTGGACGAGATTTGTGTGAATTTCCTGAATACGGCACTGCCCACCACCCACCTATTTTTTGATGCCGATCCCTGACTGAAGGAAGAATGTCGATGGGCGGATCTTCACTGCTCCACCCGGCCGGTGGCGGGTAATTTTCAATCTCGGATTTCGGACCCTTGCGAACTTGTGATACGGAAACGGCGGCCGTTCATTCCTCGACGCGTTGACAGTCGTCGTCGTCGTCGTCTTCGTCTCCATCTCGACCTCCACGAAACAATCCATCGTCAATGGCATAGTATGATGCCTCCGCGTCTCAGGATATCATTCTGTGACAGTAGTAGATCCAGGGAATGCCCCGATACATCGAATCATATTAGTTGACAGATCTCAAGAAGTCAATGCATTTCCCCAGGCTTTGTTTTCCCCCTCCCTCCCCTCTTCGATGTACAGTACATGCGTGGATGCGTATCTCCGTCCAGATCCTCCAAATACCACATGGATGCGCAGAAGTCCCTACAGCAGAGTCAACTGATCAATCAAGCGCCTCCCGGAGAAATCAACATGGTCTACAGAAATAGAACATCACCGGAAATCCTATTCAGGCTCATTATTTTCCGGCTTTTCTGCCTTACTGACTCCCTCTTGGTATTTGTAAATGTTATGCTTCTAAGCTTGCGTCGACCATTTTGAGGCAATCCCGTTCTACTAGGCTGGTTACTAGAGAGACCTGGTAGCCTTCATGATGGAATGTTCAAAGAGAGTGATCACCGTTGCTCGTCTATCTTAAACTGAACACTCTTGATAATACGAAAGACTGTATGTCTTTTTCCCTTTCTTATTCTTTTCCATGATGTTTGTGGTGGTACGGATAAAATGACAGCTGGTCTCTGGCTGCTTCTGGACTCCAGCATCAATCCTCCATACATTCTCGGAATGTTCCAGCGGGTGGACCACCTCGGGCGGACTGCTATTCTTATCATCCCGCTCTTTCTTCTTTCCGGACACACTGATAGCACAAAGTATTAATGCAGACAGCGAATGCGCCCACCACACCCATTTTCACACCTTCAGATCCGCATGCGCATTCATATCCATGTCCGGCGCCTAAGACATTAATCCGTCCATTCATTCATATCCCAACTTCACAAACAGGGTGTAATACCCTGTCGAATGTCAGAACGCCTTACAGAGTAACCAACCGGCTGGTTGGTGCAGCTAAAAAAGATGGAAACTTCGATCTGCGCGGTTGCCCGCTGTTTCAGCCAGTGAGGAAAGACCCTTTAGGGGCTCGCTGGGCCGGTGGCCCCACGGGCCGCGTGTCCTTCCCTCCCCCTTCTCCATCCAACCATCCATTCTCCTATTCTTGACTCTCGCTCTCTCTCTTCCCCCGTAGTCACGGTGTATCGGGTATAGTATCAGCTCATAGCCTGATTCAGTCCAGTGGTGTCCGCGGAAGTGAAACTAGGCTCGTCATGGCCACCAACGTGCGGACCATTCAGATTGGTAGTGGAAGACTGACCACAACAAGGTACCTTCGCTCTTCAGCACTAGGCCGATAGACTAACAGTCCACTACTCTACTGCTGGGCTGGGCTTGCCTTAACACATCCACCGGTCGGCAGGGTTTACCTCGACGCATCTACTTAGTGTCGGATAGAAACCCTCAGATCCGGACAGCGGAGTCTTCCGTGATCCTGTTGGTCTTGTTTTTCAGCTGCGTTTCCATTGCCACGTACTGGGGATTTACAGACGAATCCCATCCAATTCTTAGGACCAACATCCTCTGATTTTTGTTCTATGTATAGTGCCACCACCAACTGAATAACCGCTCCACGAGTTTTGGAGAGTGGCAAAGTGTGGCCGTGTGGTTGAGCCTCATGAGTGGACATGGGCTGAGCGGATTGCCTCCAGACTCTCGGCCTGTACCTGGTGGTTCCTCTGGTTGAAAGTGGTTCTGTTACTGCCCGTCAGCTGGTCCAACCACCCACGTTTCAGTGGAAATTTTGCAATCCCATAAGTTACGTCCGCCTCGAACAGCCCGTCCGGACGCGCGTACGTCGTACCTGATACTTTCTCCCCTCGTCACTCGGCAGCTTGTTATTGATGGATTGTTCAAGCTGCGTATCCGCGGAGGGGTAAACCCCAGTCAAACTGCAAGTGGGCGCAGAAAAGTAAAATGTTTGCGACATCATCCGACCCAATCGCAGGCATCCATCAGCAATCGTGTCGCCGCCCCCCCTCATCCATCCAGGATTGACCGGGCTGGCGCCATCGTGAACACCTGAGTAGTCAGTCTACTCCGTAGATACAATTTATTTCACACAAACGTTTCTTCCTACCGTGCGCACGGCAGGGAAAGGAAGGAGAGAGGGATCGACATTGTGGTCGTTTCGCAAGCATGACCAACTTCGCTAAAAAACATTGCCGGACAATTAAGCTTGAACGCCAGCCTTGGCAGCTGTCACCTACACACCCATTTGATGGACCCTGACACTCTGTCAACAATCTCTGTGCATGAGATGCATGATACATCCAGCTGTCCTGTGGCATTGAGTTCAGCTCTCCCCAGGATTTCCAACTGGTTTACTGCAAACCATTCGTCAGTCTTTCACTGCCCAGCCCAAATCGTAATTGCATCCCAGATGGGCGGTCTAAACTCCAATGCAAGCACTTCCCTCCCCCTGATCATCATCCAGCCATCGCCATTCGGTCCAGTGTTGTTCACCCAGAGCCGAGATGCCAAGCACACCATTATGGGCCTCCGTCGCTGTTTAGGGAAGGATGTGCACCCGTTCAGGTTCGACTGCCGTCCTTCTCTTACCGCAAAAGGACGATAGCACTCCGTAGTTATGGATCCAATGTCCAAAGGGAAACGAACAATGACATCAATTGGAAGAGAGGAGGGTCCTCCGTTCAGGGTCCATGTCGCTCTTTTCCGACGCCCGGTTCTTCCCAAGCCACCTGAATGAGGTAGAGTACGGAACGGCATCCAGCAAGTTCCTTAGATGGAGTCACGCTATGCCTTCTGCGTATCCGGGAACCCTGGGCAAAAAAACATTAGCCCGTCATGGAACAGACCGACTCAATTCGAAAAAAACCACCTGCATAGTTTGCCAGCGTTTTCACACTACTCATACGGACACCTGGTTAGTCGATAATAGTTTTTACTGCAAGTCCACCACCAACGGTCACCCGTTATCCTGATAGGCCAATTGCCGCGAGCATGCAATCGGCCACTAAAGTAGTAATCAAAGCCCGAAAGCGAGAAAAAAATAAAAGCTTGGAAAGGAGGAAGAAGACCACTCTGGCCAGAACCATGGTATAGTTATCGTAGTAGATAGTAAGTAATGATGCCATATTCCGCCATAATGAGTATAAATTATAATCCTTATGAATAAATGAATGTACACGCGTCTCAACATTCGACATCATCCTCTTCAAACCAGATGGACAGACCCTTCCAACGCCTCTGCATTAGCATCATATCACAACAAAGAAAGAAAAGTAAAAAAAGAAATTGACTCCTCTACCTAGTATCACCCAACTTGCCAATTTAACCTGCAGATAAGGACTATCTAGAAGGAGTAGGAACCCGGAAATTAAGCGATATTAAAGTGAACACCGATTAGCCTACTTTGTATCTAGTCCGTTAATCTACCCGTGGACTATAGGATCTTAGCCCGCCGATAGAGCGTTTCAGATTCAAGATTTCGAGGAAATGAATTGTGGGTAAAAGAAATTATTAAGTTGTCTCAAACCGGGTAGATAGATAGATAGTGGACAAGTAAGGTAAATGTCTCAGACTGATTTACTAGTACTTTGTTATTTGCGGTGTAGATCTGGATTAATTGGCTTGTGGTCTGTTACTGTTATATTATAAGCTTTGGAGGATTGATGGGTAGTTATGTGATCTGAAACAGAGAGGGTATATTTGATCTACTGGGTTTGTGAGATGTAGATTGTTTTCTTTTTGATTTACTTTGTTGATGTAAGTTGTATGGTTTGTGATCAGTATGATCATGTATAATTTAATGTAGATCTGTCGGAGCAGATCAGATGATTGTGTTTTATGTAGATGTGAGTTGATGATATATTACCCGACATGGTAGGTAGATGGTCGAATCGGGCTGTCACTTATTACTAGTGAGAGTGTAAATTTGAATTTAAGATGATATTGTTGATGTCGTTATTAAGTACTTGGAGGGCATATAATCTAGGGACTATACATATGTTCGTATGCTCTACACCTGGTTTCATAGTAAACTAGGAAATAAACATACGTAGTCGTTCACAAGTACCGAATGATGCAATTGAGCTCCTGAAGTTCACAATGTAGACTTACTCAAACACGTTATCCATTGTGGAGGCACTGATTTAAGGATGAGGGGTCAGTACCGATAGAGTATAGTGCTATTAGTGTATGCTTAACTCCTACTTCAAGGTATATCTGCTTATACCGTTGCATCTTTATCGCTAGTAACTTCGTTTGAGCATCACGAAACTTGCATATAGAGAGCGATATGATCGCCATATATACACTTGTGGGAGTATCAACTCGATGAATATCCTCAGGTACCCTTAGAAGGCCTGCCTAAATGCATAGTAACTGAGAGTGCTATTACGGCTGGGGCATACTGACAGTATCAGGTAGTAGAGATAGGCTTCGGATCTCTTGTTCGTACAATAACGACAATCTGGTATTTCTGGTTTTCACTATCAACGGTTAAATATCCTCCTTGCATGGCGGCTATTAACATAATAACAGTCCTGCCGAATACAAAATGGCTACTTCACTGGCATGACATAGTAGTCTATATACGGAGAGACGATGCAACTCTGTTATTTATTTAGATGACACCTGAAAGTTATAACCAATGAACTAATTGTTACTGCAGACCGATCCAATGCAATCACGGCTCATTTCTCAATCTTGACATCAGCCTGTGTGACCGTATCACCTGCAGAAGTACCTGCCTGATCCTTGTCCGGCGAAGATGCTACACCGTTCGGAGTATCTATCGGACGATGGGATTCGAATTGTGACGACAGTATATCCATGGATGAGCCATGGACCAAACCAACATTGTTCAATTCCACATCATGCTTGATCTCATAGACGCGGCCGAAGTGGACGCGGGCGGTGCTGGGTAGTACTGTTGATAGCTGCTCAAGTTTCAGGCGTATAGGCTGACTGTTCATTCTTGTTTCTTCTGGCAATGGGTCGGGAATGTACTTCGATGAGTAGAGAATAGCATATAGCTCCTGATCGGGTTGGTCGGAACATCCTCTTCCTGAGTAACTGTGTTGATATTTGTCAACAACAGTATAGGACTACATGAAGATCTCGAGACGAGGGGATCTCACGTATGTATACCCAGACAAAGACAGGATTTAGTACCCTGCTGGACGACCACGAATCGGCGGATAGTGATGGCTCCTACCCAGGGGTCCATATCCCAGGTGGGAAGATTATATTCGTTGGAAATCATTTCTTCGATTTCTGACTCGGACAGAATAGGGCGATCAGTGCTCATCTCATCTAGATATATATAACCTATCCTTTCGTCAAGACTCGATACATCATGCAGCTTTCTAAACGTCTCATGATGATATATCCTGAAGTGTCTGTCAACCCAGAAGACCTTTGGGAATCGAATGTCACCAGTGCACAAATGACATTGAACTTGTCCATTCTCTTGAACATCGCCATATCGAAACATTGCTTTCAAAGGAAGCTTTATAATGTCCCCGTAATTCTTCTTCTGTCGGTTAAGTCGTTCTTTCTCACGCTCATATGGGTCTAGTATAGAGCCAATGGAAGCCATTCTAGGGGGAGATGTGTGCAATTAATGTCTTCATCTCCTGTGGCTGTCGATATACCTCGCATGGCCACGGTAAATACCCGCCCAGGTCGGAAGAAGTCATTAGGATGGGTGACCTTTTCGAAGTCTACGAAGTACATCAGCCAGCATACATCGCAGTCTGTAGCAGTACTTACTAGGTCTTGCACAACATGTATCCCTTCCCGTGATCATTGCGCTTAGCCTAACATGCGGAAACTCAGACCTTTCAACGATCCATCTTGGAGTGACAGTTGCACTTTTCCAAGCATTATCATCAGAGCTAGAGGAATATTAGCATTTTGCCCCTCGACCATAGACACAACATACTTGGAGTAGCAAGCCATCCGTAAGAGGCTACTCAAAGACAACAAATTAGAATGGAATATGCTAGATAATTTCTGAGCCGATATTATAATGTTTGTTCTTAGTGAACTTCAACAGCATATGTCGATAAATTGATGAACTAACCTCATCCGTCATCCCTGAAGATGATTTACCCGTTGAGAATATATACTTCAAGGCCAATACAGACCCTCCAGCTTGATATGCACGAATGCCTTCTAATCTGTTTACAAACCCATTGATGGCCTCGCTCATCTTGCCCGCCAGGAAGCGAATGGCACTCAAGGTTGATTGAGTCAACTGATAAGCCGCCCTGAGTTGTTCCACTTGGAGGAGGGCTTTGTAGACAGTAAGGAGCCGTGAAGATAGAGGCCGGAATTCTCTAACAACGCCATCTGTTTCAGACAGTTCCTGGTAGAGTTTATAAGCAAGTCTTGCACACGCCAGTATATCACCGACACCAGTACCAAGCGACATGATGATCTTTGAGTATTTGGTGTCCAAGCAGCCGGGAAGCTTATGATATGCGGTCCTGGTCTATAACAATCCTCCGTTAAGTTCAGGCGCAGTAACGGCTTTTTGCAGAGATATACTATGATTACCGCAGACGGGTGTCAATGACAATGGGCTGGCTAGTTGGGTTGACAGGGAAGGAAAGGAATAGAGTAATGGACGTAACCATACTGCCGACGATATAGTGGGAAATGTTTATCTAGGAGATACTGGCTGACAGACACCGATGCCGCAAGGCTGAGGATGTAGCCTAAACTAGCCATCTATGGCGTGTCTTACATCTACTGGCTGTCATTCTAATAGGTTGGATATGAACGACCTCATCTCTGGTAGGACAGTAAGAAATTAACTCGTATATGTTTTATCTTTACTCACATGTAACTCATAGGTGGTCTTGTGACCCTTTCATGTTCCTGATACTTCTATGTATGACATGCGGATGACCGGAGAAAGCGAAACGCGAAAAAGACCGTCTCAGTGACAGCAGGTAATTTGAAACTGAAGCGGGAAGAAACAATTAGAGTGCTGAGCTCCCGGGCAAATCTGCGTTGCATTGGCTCGGAGGGTATGAAGGGTCGTGGGCTGTACGACAGAGGTTGAAACCCAACGGTCCGCTTGTGTAAACACGGGCTGTATGGATGCAAATGTAGGAAGTTACACATGGCAAGGTATCGCAGAAAGCGGAGTGCATGATCACATGGATAGGAAAGGAATACAGCAATCTTTCAAAAATTTCTATAAGGGAATACACATGACACAGTAGTGGCCTTGGTAATAAATTATCATTGTAAATGGTCTTATCTAAATCATTACTACAGCATATTTACATGCGGGTTGCTCTACAACCCACATCATTCCTCATAGGAACCCTCTCGGTCCTCGAACTTCATAAATTCGTGCTGAGCAGCCTCCTCCCCCATGATCAGCTCCCAAGCTTTCTTGACCGTGTCGATCAAGGAGTCATCAAAAGCAAGGTCTAGGCTGACAGGCGGGAGGCATATGACGCTCTTAGACGGGCAGCTTAGATCAGCGTTGTGGGAGGCGCCTCGGCCCAGCTGCGTATAACACAGGGACCACAGGACTTTCGTATTCGGATCGGCAGCCGACTGAAGAAGCTTTCGCACAGCAGCTTCAATCATCGACTGTCCTTCTGAACCGGGTATGCTGACACTACTATACACAACGCCTGATAAACAGTTAGCAACGTGTCACAAGACATGTAACTTGCATGAATTGAAAAAAAGTGAAAGCTCATGATCAGTTCGTAGAAGTTTGCATCAATGATTTATCAGGCAATGTAGATAAGTTTTTGAAGAAAAGTCATCATATGAGCAGGGGGTGGGGGGGAAAAATGCAGAAGAAAAAGTGGTAGCTTACATTGTCCAATAGGGCACTCGCCCGTCTCGCTGGAGTGGACTATAGTGTACACCGGTGGTGCATCATCAGCACCGCCAACAGAGCTTCCCGGGAATACCACCACCGCTCCAACAGGGACTGGTCCACCCTCTGCAGTAACGGGGAAAAGGTTCGCAAGGGAAGATGAGACGATGGAGATGGAACGAGCCACTTTGTCGCACTCCAGAGAAGGGCGAGATGCGGCAGGAAGATCCCAATTCGAGCCAACAATGTATCGGGACTTGACCGATTCATCATTGGCCAATTGAATCTGTATGCGTGACTGGTCATCGGGTTCCTGATCTGGTGAAGGACCGATAGACTTGACGCCAGTATTCAGGACATACACACCACCTCCCACGGCAAGAGCGCGACAACCGACCTGAGAGATCTCAGAGCCACCGCCCCATTTGACCGAGAGAGCCCCAAAGCCGGGACCAAACACACCAATAGATGACAAGTGTCTCTTGATGCGTGGGAGGGCATATTGGGCCGATGTGTGTTGAGGAGCAGCCTGTGATAGGCAAAGTGAGAGCAAGGGACCGTGAAGCTCAGTGGGCACATGAAACTTCGTGGCTAGATACTCAGAGAAGGGTGCAGCAAGACCCTCCTCTTCCGAGGACGGATCCGGTCCTTCCGACACATCCCCACTCTCCTGACCCTGACCGAGATGACGGAGAAACCTCATCAGAGTTCTCTTCGACTTCATACTGATCACATCGTCCGCAAAGACATCCTCCCGACTGCCAGGGACACGATAGAGACGACTACTATCATCAGCCACGGGTTTGTAGATCCACCAGCTTCCCACAGCTTGAAACTCCAATTGCCGGTAGACCTTGGAGGAAACCAAGGTAGGCAAAAGTTGTGATCGGGAGTAGATCAATTGCGGCGACAAGGAGAGGGTATATGCTCGAGAGGACGCAAGCTGACCCGTGGAATCCCCGGAGCTTTCGGAGCAGACGCTAGCATGTTCGAATGGGAGCTCCCCGGTGTCTAGCTCACCCACACGAGTCAGCAGGGGCCATGGGGTCGCTTAGACTGGGGAGCTCCTACCCTCGTTCACTTTAGCAGCCCACTCCTCGGCTTCCTGAAGGCTAAAAGCTGCCTCAGGACCACCGTAGTATGGATTTCTGTCAACATGGAGAACGTTCTTACCTGACCTGGAAAGGGCCCTGGCAAGAGACGTTAGCTGTAAGCAAATACAGCATTGACTGAAGGTAGCTCACAGAGCTAGAAGGGACTGGGCCAGTCCAGTGCCAGAGATCGTCACGTCCCATGGCGTGTCCGCGAGGGATTCCATAGTGATGACGGCCGAACTGCAAGCAAGCTAAATGGAGGGGCTTAGTGCTATATCGATGTCTGATGAGCAAGCTCAGCGAGCATCACATTTGGTCACAAGCTCCTAGAGACGTTTGTAGCAAGTATCTTCAGCCCATAGGTGAGGACTGAAGATCATGCGCTGAAGACGAGAAAGAATTTCAGAAACGAAAAGAAAATCGAGGGACACGCGAAGAAATACGGGACCCGCACTGGCCCACCACGTGACTAAATACTTAGCTAAACCGTTATTGAAGACCTAAGGTGAGGAAGCAACAGACATTGAACGTTTACATGCTCGATGAATGTAGACCTACTAGCATCTGGCTCTACATAGCACAACTTCCTTTTTCCAGCAACATGAGGGAGTCACCAGTGTTGATGGAGCCCTGGTCTCTACTAAAAGTATGAACCCAATTGGCTTCAGTATGAGCGTTGAGCCTCCTTTTCTCAGACAGAACACACAAGAGTGAATTCAGTAGCTAAACAGTCTATACAGCTTTTTTGGCCCGGTATTAACCTCACATCCATGCAATTGCAGCTCTTTAAAGCTATATTTACCGTTCGTTGCAACTGTTGCCTGAGGCTACAATAAATATGACTATTCCGAAAGAAGCTAGACTCGACAAACGGGAGCCGCTTAAGGAGGATTTCGCCCACAACCAGAGCTTCTTTCCTTCTTCACACCACTCCTAGTGCTCTGCACAGGCAGACTGCTTGTTTGTAGCAGTTTCGTCGTCTTCGTACAAGCCTTCACTGGTCTTGTGCTATAGGAGTGGTAGATAGACTTTTCACTCTGTATCTGCTGCTCCGGATGGTAACATCTGATGGAAGCGGTTCGTTTTGAAGTGAAACATTCCTATTCTAAACTGTAATCTGTTTCTATATGAAGCTGCCGTTGCGCTGCAGACGTCAACCCGAGGCGACTGTAGTGTTTTGACGGACGTGGCTCTGCTATGTAATGAACGTGCAGCTGCTCGTGCTCTGCATTGCTCTCGGAAGAGTGCAGTGCTGAGTTACGGTCCCAACGTCTGCCATCGATGCCAACAGCCCGTATCATGTCTGAAGACCGCTGTTGCTGGGATGCTGTATAGCTTTTGCGGATGAATGCCCATAACCATCTGCTATAAGACCCCCTCACTCATCACCTGTCTCCTCCACGATTCTGGCACGGAGAATCTTCACCTCATCCATAGGCCGGTCTTCCGAGTTTGTCTTGACCAGTCCCATGCGCTGGATCACCCTCATGCCGCTCTTGACGCGGCCGAAAATAGTGTGCTTTCCATCCAACCACGGCGTCGGGGCCAGCGTAATGAAGAACTGACTGCCGTTGGTGTTGGGCCCGCTGTTTGCCATGCTCAAGATTCCAGCACCAGTATGCTTTAGATTAGGATTGATCTCGTCCTCGAATTTCTCGCCGTAGATTGAGCTTCCTCCTCTGCCAGTGCCGGTAGGATCGCCGGTTTGTACCATGAAGTTGGGGATAATGCGGTGGAAGATGACATTGTTATAGTAGCCTCGTTGCGCAAGCGTCGCGAAGTTCTTACACGTCTAGTCGGTAACAATGGTGTCAGTAAAATGTACCATAAGAGGATGGGGTGAGCTTAGAATCTTGGTACTGACCTTGGGCGCATGCGCATTGTAGAGCTCTACTGTGAACGAGCCCTGGGCAGGTTAGCGGGGTATGCTGAGGCAGTCGTTCTGGTTATCCATACCATGCTCGTGTCAAAAGCCACATCAGTCGCCATTTAAATATAAGAAACAGGTGTCAGGCTGTTTACTGGTACTTGTCAAGAATCCGCAGTGAAGAGTTGCGGTTGAGCTTTCTGGCGCGGCGGAGGTCGAGATCCAGTCTTGGCATCCGATGTTCCCATGAATGATGGGGAGTTCGGACTGCTCCAGTTGCCCAGTCCCTCACACCGGCATTGTTAATGTAGATATTGTACTGTTCGCCTGAAAAATTGCAGCATTATTAAATACAGGTCTGCCTTTGTATATTAGCATAGTCCCCAGGTTCACTCTACGCAGGACTAGAGTCAGATCATGATTGACATCATGGTATCATTGCATGTAGTATTAGTCGCTTTCTAAACAATCAACACTGCTCAAGGATGTGCTTCAATTGCTCCCATCTCTGCGCGGAAATGTCAACCAGCGCCTTGAGCTCCTTCCCATCAACAGCCCATCCTCCATTCTTCTCCATATTCTGGATAACCGTCTTGCCCTTCCCACCTTGCTCCTTATCAACCACAATGCAGACTCGTTCTTGACTCAGTCCCTCCTCATATCCATCAGGATCGGCCAGAATCCACCTCCGCTGAATGCCCTTCCGGGCGCTCTCCTCAATGTTCTTTTCCTCCTCAGCGTCCGGGATAATAACCGCCCTCCAGCCAGCAGCCGCGTCAGCCTCGAAAACACAGAACGAGCTTGCGACAGGCAGACCGCGCAAGGACAGCTTATGAGACTCAGAAACCGCATCCGAGCACACAACCATCTCATTATCAACATCCCACCATGCCCGGGGTAGCTTCGTATCGCGCAGTGCAGCCAAAACCGAAGCCCAGGCAGCATCGAAGGGGTTTCCTGCCAAGGAAATGATCATGATATCAATATAGAGCACCCAGAATGCCTTGATCTCCTTTTCCTTGCCGACCTCCTCCCCGCGCTCTACATCCACATCCATCTGCTCAGACTCATTATGGCGTTCCAGGTCCTCCGGCCCCAGACTAGGCGGCTGGTACCAAATGCGCAAATCCTCGGCGCGGACCAATTTTGTACTATGCAGCAAGTTCAAAATCTTATGGGACAGCGACTGTGCGAGTGCTGACGGGGGTGCGCCAGGGACAAAGCCCGGTGCGCAGCCGGTGCTCAGCGACAGATTCGGGACGAGAAGGTTGAGTTGTTGAATGTGCGATTCGTCTTCAGGATCTTCCACTTCCGCACCATCCTCAGTAGGCTTCTTAGTTTGATCGGCGAGTTTGCGACGCTTATTCGCAGATGACGAGGACTGAGACACGCTCCACGAGGCAATGTCGGCAGTGGGGAGGATTTCCGCTCGTACGCCGCATACTGCGGTTGTGTCGCCAACCCTTACGACGGCGCTGCCATTTGTGTGGGTTAGGGAGCCTGTGTTCGCAGATGTGACGCGGAATTGCGAGGGAGCGCGGCCATTGGCTCGAATGGAGGGCTGGTTGCTGGATGCGGGTGGTGAAAGGTGGGCGAGGAGATAGGCGTGAGGTTGGAGTCGGGCGAATTGCGAGGGGGGTAGGGTGAGAGAGGGGGGTGCGGATGGCGTTGTGGAGGCCATCTTGAGCTATTGCTGAAGCCGAAGTAGTCTGCTCAGGACCGACAGGGTGTGAAATTGGTCAATGAAGAGATAAATGGGTCTATGAAACTCAGTCTGTATGAGGAGGAAATGGTTGACGGACTTTCCATTTTTCTGCGGCAGAATTCTGAGCATCTATCGGGGCGGTGAGGAATGTTGACCTCCACCTACTGCACATCAATTCTACAAAGATGTCTGATGAACTTGACAAAAGATAAATACCTCGCAAGATAACATGATATTGAACTGAACATTAGCTACTATATTTAATTTGGAGTGTTATGGAGACCCCTACATTCCACATCTTTGCTGTAATAGAAAATATCTCGAACAGCGGACGCTAGTATATAGTATAAGAAGCTTCAGTACAATAAGTCACAGAGTATCATCCCTGCCTACTAAAAGTTTAGTTAAAGGACCATTGGAAACACTGATACTATGACAAGAATGAAGCGATCTGGCTGATAGCCAGGCAATATATGTATTTCCAGAACTATTACGCTAACTGTATATTCAAGGGAGAATGTCAGCTTCATCCCCAATGCACATTAAGCATCATGACCGCAGGTGCATACAGTCCTCACTATGGGTTATTTGCTAAACGGCTAGTACATGAGGATATATGATTCCTCAGTCTATACAGACTCCTTGCTTATTATCTACTCACGAATTATCGTATTTTTTTTTTTTTTTTTTTTTTTTTACGTCGACCCAGAACCCCATGACAACAACGGCAGTCCGGTCATATTTGGTAGCATTGCGTTACTACCTTGAAGGGATGGAGAATGTTGTTGTGACTAAACTTACGTTAATGGAACAAAAGCGTAAAGTGAATGTCCTACACGTGTTGAATGCATCCCCACTCAGTGTGCGATCAATCTGATATGCTCTAAGAGGCCAATAAAAACCGCTAGCTTGGGGAAATGTCAAAGTATCGCGAAAATCCACTTTGCAGAGTCGACCAATGATGACGTGACGGGGGACGCGTCTGGGGGTCCTGGTTAATGCGTTATCTTGGATTATTCTAGAAGGAGGGTCGTATTCATTGCGAGGGGCTAAGGTTACGGGGTGTGTTGTAGAATGAGATAGTGGGTCACGGCTGCGACAGAGAGATTGTGATAGGAGTATGATTATTCTGGTGTATATGAGTATATATCCAAACTTGAGTGGAAAGAACCGAACTATATATGGTATAGACAGGGTGTTCTATGGTAATAACATTTGACAATGATAAGGGTATCAGTGATGGGGCAAAGAGCAAACAACCGAACGCCAAAATGTAGATAAATCAGGCAGAAAACGATAAGCAGTGCTTCTATAGTTCTTAGCAGAACATGAAATGTCATGGCCGCTGGGGCTCATCATCTGCCTTACGCTTCCTGCTCACCCCCTCGTCAACTTCCAGAATCTTAGAATCCGCATCGGCGAATGGTTGTACTCCATGGTCTTCCTCCTCATCACCGTCTTCAGCTTCGACTTTCTCCCAATCATCGTCATCATCCCCTCCAGGCACTTTGCGCTGGTCTTGACCCTTGTTGCTGGGAACGGTTTCCTCTTTAGGCGCATCAGTCCATTGGAGAACAAGCTTGACTATCTTTGCGCCAGAAGGTTTCAGGCGCCGGTAGTAGTTCTCCACTATTCCATCTTCCACCTTGAACCCTCGTGCGACGTACCACTTCAGACCATCTTCGTTGGCCTCGTGGACATGGGCTGTGACGGTGCGAATGTTGTAATGCTTCACCAGGTCTGAGACTTGTAGATCAGGTCGCGGATCGGATGAAGTGGAAGATGACAAGGAACTGGACGTGTAGAGTAGCGAGTCTAGAAGCGATGCTGCAATCCCACAGCCTCGATAGGGCGACAGTAGATGAAGGGTTTGAATGTAGAGATTCGTCGGCTCGGAGTTCGACCGGCCTTGCAAGATTCCGGCAGTAGTCGGCGGTAACCGCTCCAATCGGCACCTGATGCCTCCAATAACTTTGTCTGATCCAGTTGTGGGGGTCTTCAAGCCCGTTGAAGGGGTTGGCGCTGCAGAGGTGGGAGCAGCGGCTACCGGATGATCATGATAGACGGCCACGCGGGACAGCGACGAGATCACGGGGTCAGTGATGGTGGCTGTGTAGAAAGAGTTGGGATAGCGAATAGGAAGCAGCAAGCCCGTGATTCTGGTCAGCGAAGGGATGTGAGCTGTGCTCACAACTTCGACGGTAACATGCGGGTGCGGAGTGGGGTGGCCTGATGCGATGGGCTTTGGGTATGGCACAGCCTGAAGGGTCGAGTCCCGGCCTGCTGGAGGCTGGAATTTGGACGCCAGACTCACGGAAGATGAGCCAGAAGAGGGAGGAACGACGATAGCTGGTGGACCTTTAGGTGGCCTGGTGTGAGAGTTGTTTGAAGACGGTGAAGTTATCGTGCTTGGAGCCTGAGGGGGAGACAAAGGTGGAGAAGTGGGCGCTTTGGATTGATGCGCCCTGGCGAAGAACTGGAAAGCCATGGTTGGAAGAAGGGTAAATGTGATGTGTAAGCCACACTATACAAGGGGTATCTTCCCCTGAAGCAGTCTCTGAGGTATACAAAAGAAAGAATACCCAGAAACACGTTGAGGAGAGAGCGGGGAGAAGCAGAGCGCCAGACGAAGAGGGGAACCCAACGCGATCCAAAAGCGGTGGACGAAAACGGCGAGAGAAACGCGGAGATGCGATAAGATAAGATCGGGCGGTCGGACAAGTTCAAAGAGGCAAAGGCCAGCGCAAAAGAGCCTCTGTCCACGTCCTCCGATCTAGGATTGCCCCTGGTGCTGCACCTTCACTTGCCGTCTTGGTCTTGTTTTTTTGGCTGCGTCACACAGTCTACTGTGCTCTTTCTATATATGTTGCTCTATCGGATGTGAAGCCAAGGTGAGTTGCTCCCCCTCATGGTAATGGCCGTGCGCGCAGTCCGCTGATTCTCCCTACCGTGGGTGTTTCCCGCCCCCGGGTTATAGACGCCATTCACTCCCCGCCAGACAGATGGACTCTACGTGCTATCGTCCCTGTGTACCATTTCTTTGAGACATTCTTTATAGTGGGAGTCGGGCACTTGCTTTATTGCTCCCTTGTTTGGACCAACACAGTCGGGTAGTCGTCTATTACGCCATTGTTCCCTCCATCCGCATCCGTTAAGCGGCCGGTAAACCCCGACCCAGATTTGCCTTCGAACACCCTGCGCAAACCTACATGGCGCCATCGGTTTGATACTGGGGATAATCGTTCAGAGTTGTGTGGAAGCAGCTGTTTGTCAACTGCAAGTTCCGCGTTAATTGGCGCGTGATTACTTTGCATACACCAGCAGAGGTATGTCTCGACAGTTGTCCTGGACTTTGCAGTATTCGCGCGACCATTGCGTTATCTCATCGGTACTGCTTGCTGTCGAGTGCATTATCATGTTGTATGCGATGTGCTGGGCTACCCCACTCATCTGCATTTCTTGCTTGCTTGTTTCCTAACCGCTCAGTCTTGGAAGATGCTTCAGCTCTAACACTTTCCAGTCCTGCAGAACATTGCCAAAATGGGCGAGTCGAATGGAGCTGAAGAGAATGGAAGTTCCTTTCCTTCAGGAACGCTTGCAAAATTGGTACGTTCATGCCCGTATGCTTCCGGCTGCGGCACAGTAGCGTCTCTGGGCTTTTGCAATGTATCCTGACAACACTAGACATGCGATATCCTCAACGATACCTTCTATAATATAATTCATGATATAGTTGCGAAGGTGCATCGCGACGAAAAGGTCTCCCGTATGCGCTCAGCGGTGGTCACTGCAAGGCAAAAAGCCGATGAAGAGGCATCCAAACGTCGTGAAGAGAGTGGGAAGCCAGCTGGTGCATTCAAGCCCGGTGATCTCGACCTTGAGGAACTTAAGGATATACATGTGGAGACAGATGCGGCTGTCTTTGATGAAGGCAAGGTTTACCTCAAGGGAAACCCTCTGCAAACCACGAAAGAGATTATCTGTCCAGAGTGCCGATTGCCTCGTCTATTATACCCAGTAACGGGTGTCGGGGCTCGGGCTCCCCCAGACCCATATCGGGAGTATTGTCAGAAGCAGCCTATGATCAACAAGCCGGGGCACGATGTTCATGGAAACCCGTTTGCCACGGACAAGCTGAATCCGAAGAAGAAGAAACAGACAAATACGTCCAATACTCCAGCTTCAAGCCCCCCCACAACGCCTGACAGTTCCTTCAAGCAAGCAGCCCCAGAAAAGGTGTCCTTCCCGACTGTGAAATGCCCGAACTGCCCGAGATACTTTGTTGTCACTCGAGTTGCACAGCACCTGGACCGGTGCTTGGGTTTATCAGGGCGACAGACCAACCGCAACAAGACCCCAATGGAAAATGGTGCCAGTACCCCCAGTTCTGCTCCACCTAAGCGTCCACTAGTGGATGATGACGTTCCAGCAACTCTTCCGACGAAGAAGAAGAAGTTAGGAGCCCCCAAAAAATTGTCAGGGAAGAAGCCACCTCCGCCTAGCAAGCTGAAAAACGGGCTTACGCCAGACATGGCCGCAGCAAGTGATGCCGCCGGCTCTGGTGACGGGGACATCAAGAGTGAAGCGAACGGGGATAACTCTTAAGCCTTCGGTGTTTCTTTCTTTCTTTCTTTTTTCTCTTCTTTTCTTTCCACACCTTATACCTTTCTACACATCCCTTTCAACATTATTTTTACCTTGCTTCTTGCAGACTGCAGACCTGTTTGCGTTGGACAAGGCCTTGGACATATCTCCGTTTGCTTAACGATATTGACGTAAATACCCGGCATCAACGGCGTCGACGGGAACCTCCTACCTTAGTATCCTCGAGTCGAATAGGGACATGCTCGGCATCGTCTCTAGCCTTTCTCTTCCGTTTCTTTTTATAGGTGTTGTGTGCTGTTCTCTTGAATGATAGATTTTTATGCGGTTGTATGTACAATATTCTGGCAATAGGTCAGTTCGGGTTTCACAATCAATCGATTGGTTTAAGATTGGGTATACAGATTAAATCGAATTAAGAAGCCTCTTATGTAAACTGAGCAGTTAAGCTCGAACGCCAACCATATTCTTAATTGTTGGAGGTCCACTATACATACTGTTGGTTCAGTGGAACAATAGGTGCAATGGAATCAATCAAGGTACTGGGACACCCTTTTAGAGAGGAGTTCTATAAAGTGCCCTTGTAACGGTTGTTCGATATCTACCCCGGTGATCCCCGTGGTATAATAGTCTTAGTTCGAACCTATCACTAATTCGTGTACATGAAAAGTGGCTTCCAGACAAGAGTACAAAGTGTAACCTCGTAGATTTCATGGCGTGTTGGACGACTGCTATCCTGGGCAGAGCTGCTCCATAAAGATGTTTGGACATTGTTTTGCCTTGAATTTGAGCTCTATGCAAACTCGCCTGAATACTCTATAAAAATGACTTATTATGCGATACACCCAATTTATTTGCGGTATCTCGAAAGCTCGTGGCTGCAGGCTAGTATACAATGTTGTTGGCCTGAAAAGTATGGCCTCGCAGCCCACTTCGGGACCTTCCGTCCGTTATCGTCTGGCCCGCTTGCTCGATCCATCATCCACGATTTATGACGCGCATCCACTATGAGCATCAATTAACTCAGTCGCTAACAATTTCTCTAACCTCTGACTACTAGCGACATGAGCAATACCAGCCTCATCTCCTGGGCCATCCCCAGGCTGAGCCAAATTCTCCCGCTGGACGAGGAGTCGCTCACGCAGATCATCACCTACGCCGCCAGCCTCTCCAAAGACGAAGGCGCTGAACACCTCAAAAACCTTCTGGGCGACTCTCCCGCCGCATTCGAATTCATTTCTGCGTTCAGCTCGCGACGAGAACCACCCCCACGATCTAACGCGCCGTCACCCGCTCCGAGCGGCCAGTCCACATCTAGGAACAATTATTCGGGAACGCAGTCGAAGAGGGGCAAGAAGTCGAAGCCACCACTACACAGCGCCGGGCCTGTTCGCCGACCAGACAATTTTGGAAATGTGACGGGTGGATACAGAAAGGAGGACCAGGATGAGGACTACATGCCCGTCTCTAGCCGGAGCCGACAAGAAGGAAGCACGAGAGAAGGCACACTGGACACCGGTCTATCACCATCCCCGTTGATCTCTTCCCGCGAGGCATCCGCTACCTCTTCGCGAAATCAATCACCGGCTCCGAGACCGACACCGGCTAAAAACCCGCCTTCTGCCGCTGGCCCCGTGATCTCGGATCTACTACCGAATGTCAAGTCGAAGGCGGCCAAGTCTGCCTCTCGAGCTGGTGGGAGCAGTACGGGGACCGGCTCATCGTCCAAGGGATCGCTGACTACGAATAATATTAATGATTTGACGGCTGCCATTGCCGCTTTGGAGGTGTCTACGAATCCAACGCTGAGTGGTGGCGCTCGCAAATGCACATGCAACGCTAGCATCCATCCTCTCTTTGATCCTGCGCCGAATTGTCTCAAGTGTGGAAAGATCATTTGTTCGCTGGAAGGGCTACAGCCGTGTTCGTTTTGCAAAACACCTCTCCTGTCGAATGACGAGATTCAGAGCATGATACGGGAGCTGCGGGCAGAGCGTGGACAGGAGAAGATGCGCGCGCACAATGAGAGTGTACATCGGGAGGGTGGCCCTGGAATGGGCTCAGGAGCTCCCAGTAAACTTGACGCTGCCAAGGCGCATCGGGACAAGTTGCTTGCGTTCCAGGCGCAGAACGCCAAGCGGACACGTGTGGTGGACGAGGCGGCAGATTTTGAGACTCCGAACGTAGCATCTACGCTGTGGATGACACCCGCGCAGCGAGCACTGGCCCTCAAGAAACAGCAGCGGATCATGCGAGAAATGGAGGAAAAGGCAAGGCCGGAATGGGAGAAGAAGAAGACCATCATGAGCCTGGACATTAAGGGAGGAAAGGTGAGGAGGGTCTACCAATCAGCTGGGCCTGTGGAGACGGGCCCTTCCGCGGAGGAGGAAGCCGAAGCAAGGGCAGAGGAGGAGCTCGGAGATGGGGAGAACAGAGAAAGCAGCGGTAAGGCATTCAGCCATAATCCTCTTCTTGCAGCTGGAGGGTTGTTGCGACCGGTCTGGAAGTCGGCGGACGGAGAGCAAGCGGACACGGCACGCAAAGAGCGGAAACAGACATGGCGGAGAGTGCAGGACGATAATGATGACAACGAGCAGTGGATTCTCGATGGCGGTCTCCACGGTTACACATGAGAGGCATTTGACATAATAGCTTATCCGAACTGGCTGGTTACATTGTCTGCAAGCCGGACAACAGTAGCCGATGCTCTAATGCAAATACAGTGGGTAGCAACAGCCCGAGACTCTCCTAGCTTTGTCCGATAAGGCCCGCGATATAAGCACGCAATGATTGGGCCACGAGCTCCAGGAAATACTACCGCTCTGACATGGATCGATAAGCAATGCTCCTTCGGCATCGCCACGACAGAAGACAAGACACATAGCA